GCGAAGGGAAGCTTGTCAGAAATTTAAAAATGGCCGAGTTAAATTAAAAATATATGTATATATAAAAAAAAGCAGGGTAAAAAAATACAAATAATAAATAATAACAGTTAAAAATTATATTAAACATTGTGTATTTATTTTGCTTTTGTTTATTCCGGCTATTACGTTAGTTGCCTCTTTTGTTAGCCAACAATTAAGTAAATAATCCACGCTCAGCTACAAATATAAATAGAGAATTCAGTACAGTCAAGTTTTATCTATGTATATAAGGCAAATACATACTGAAATACATTAGAAGGAGTCTCACGCATTAAATGTATACCAAAGTCTTAAGAATCTTAAAAATCAAAAATCTAATATAGTCGACTCTCTTTGAATAATTAAGGTTTGAAATATTACAGAGATTCTGTAGGGGACCTGTGTTAGCTTTTAATTAATGAGAGGTTCTAAAAATCGCAGGTTTGCCATAAGGAGAGTCGACTGCACATATACTCCTTATTCCAATACTAACCTTGCGCAATAATCCATAAAACTAAACTTGATGCATTTAGCTCTTAGAGTCTTCCAGCAATGCTCAAGTACAATCAAGTCTCAAAAGTTAACGCTAAGTACAGCTACAGCATACTCTATCTATAGTAAAAAATATTGCCGCATATGACATATAAGGCTAAAGCTACTCGCATATGAACCAGAAGAAGGAGCTTGAGCTGGCATCTTATTCATGGGCTTTAGGAGTATATCAAAGCAATACCAAGCCAAAATCCCACTGACTGCTTGCCCACTCAATTGTCTCTGAAGATCATCCAACCACAGCCACAGCCCCATCATTAAATTGGAAAAAAATGGTTCATAGATATGATGGTATAACACTTTAATTTCTTCTTTTTTTTACTTTTTCTTTTAATTGGTGTTGATGATGTTTTATTTGGAAGAAATGTACATTTCTTGATCAATAAAAAAAAGTGGTATTTCTCATGTTTTGCTTGTTCTGGAGTAGTGTGAATAAGCTAATAATGAGTATTTAGTTCATTCTTTTACTTTTATTAAAATTGTTGGCATTGGTTTCTTTTCTTCTTTGGTTTTTGTTTAAATGTAGTTTTACGAAAAAATTTTATTTATTTATTTATTCCTCTTCCTCCTCTTCTTCCTCCTCCTCTTCTTCCTCCTCTTCTTCCTCTTCTTCCTCCTCCTCTTCCTCTTCATCTTCCTCGGCCTCCTCGTCCTCCTCCTCGACGACCTCCTCCTCGACCTCATCCTCATCCTCAACGATGTCCTCATCGGCCTTGGCGTCCTCCTCACCCTCGGGTGTCTCGGGCTCACCGGCCTTCTTGCCTGGTCGTTCGCCGAACCACTTTGGCAGTTTGGCTATATTGGGATAGAGGGGTGAAATATGGAAATCAGTATCAGTATCACGATATCTAAGCACATGGGCACATAGAGACATGGAAAACATGGCACGACAATGAACAAAATTGGTGAAACGATTGGAGTGTTCTCCCTGCGGTACAGTAATACCAGACTAAATAGTACCAGCTACAGTACAGTGCCAAGTGTTCTTTGGGCTGGGCAATAGAGGCAGTGTGTACATACATTTTTGACGGCCGGTGTATTGTTCCTTCTTCTCGTTCCAGATCTTCTCGTTCACATCCTTGCTGATCTCATCCCAGCCCTGTGCCGCCCCAAAGTGTGTGTTTAGCGTATGTTTGTGTTTATATAGTATGCGTGTGTGGCGAACGTGTACGAAACACACACAAGTACAGTTGACAACAATTACAGAATATAGTGAACAGAACATAGAAAGAGATAAAAGAGAGAGAGAGAGAGAGAGAGAACAGACGTTAAGTGTGATTTCGTTAACCGCATGTCGTGTGCCTGGCAACCCCATCTATATATCTGGCTACCTGTCTAGCTGACTGATTGACTGACTGATTGACTGATTGATTGATTGACTGTCTAATGATTGTATTGTGGACGCAATGGGTTCGATTTCGAATTCGATGTCAGGTCACTTTGGCGGTGCCCTTGGCAGAACATTGAACACATCATGTATGCAGGTACGAATAGTACAGAACAGTACAAAGGACAAAGACATACAAAAGTATTAATAATAATGATAAGTAAATAAAAAAATACAAATATATATAAACATTGAGATATTGAACAGACAGAGAGAGAGAGAGAGTGAGAGAGAGCGAGACAGTTCGCAACATTTTGCACTTTTGCGCTCTTACATTTTGTGCGCTGAGTGAATCTTTCCTGTTTCTCTTGCCATGACTTTTCTAAGTTTTCCGCATACACCGTATTATAGCCCTATATTGGATAATAACGCAGAGTGGGAGAGAGAGAGAAGAGTACAAAAAAAAGAGAACCCATTGTTGTGGTTGTACTAGAAGTTCTTCGTAAGAAAACCCACGGCCAACGCGAAATCTCAGCAAAGGCCAACCGAATACTTACACCCTCGAAGAGCTTCTTCTTGTCGTCATATGAGCGGGTATCCACACGTCTCTCATATTTGGAGGCGACTTGAATCTTGGGCTATATAAACAGAATGAATAGTGAAATAGTCAATAACTGATCGACCTGAAA